ATATCGACAAAGGATCAAAGTTTTATCTGCAAGATAAGACCAAGGCGGGAAAGATCATCGATATTCCCGAAGGTTCATACGACATTGTGGACATTGAGACATTCATACGCAAAGAATTGGGCATCTCAAGTGCAAAGGACGTTGATGATATATTCTCGTTGAAGCCCAACAATAATACACTAAAGTGTGAGATTTCGAGCAAACAGTTTGCCATTGATTTTCGCCCGAAGGATAGCATAGCTCAAGTCTTGGGATTTTCAAATAGATTGTTGAACGCACAACAAGTCCACACTTCCGATTTGCCGGTCAGCATAACCAAAGTGAGAACCATTCACATTGATAGCAACGTTACTGCTGGAGCTCTCTACAACGACAGACCATCACATACGATCTACGAGTTTGCAGTTGCAGTCGATCCTGGTTACGCCATAGACGAGACTCCCAGAAATCTAATCTATCTACCTATAGTCAGCAGGCGGGAATTGCCCAACATTACACTCCAGATTCTAGACCAAGATTTCAGGCAGGTGAATTTTAGAGGTGAAGAAATCATCATAAGATTGGAATTGAAGAAACTCGCAAGATGGTACTAGTGTTTGATTACTCCTATAAATCAGATAATATACCATCATCAGCAACATCATCAGCACCAGTTCTCTCGACACCGTACACCAAAGCAGTCGTGTCTTCGAAGAGCAGCAGCAGCAGCAGCAACAGAAAAACATTGACATTATCCAGTGTCCTGTTTCTGAAATCACTCAAAGACTACAATGTTGTTAGCACCCGTGTTCGACGTTTTCCGCAAACCCAGACTCGACGAAAGCATCACTAAAGTGGAATGGCGTACCTATTATCCATATGTGAAATCATTCGAGAACAATGATGTCATCGATATAACGGTTAATCAAGCAGATTCGTGGTTGGCCATGTTTGAAGGCATCATTACCATCAAGGGTAAATTGAAGGTGACCGGTGGTGGTACTGGTACATTAACCCACAATGCTGGAGCCTATCTCTTTGATTCCTGCACCTATGAATTGTGTAATAAAGAATTGGACACTGTCAGATATCCTGGAATAACGAGTACTGTGCGAGGTTACTTGTGTTATACGCCTGAAGACTCACGTCATCTAGCCATAGCAGGCTGGAACTATCCCAATGCTCCGATCCTCAACACCGATGGTACGTTTAGCATGAACATTCCACTGAAACATTTGTTTTCCATCTTCAATGATCATCAAGTGGCAACGTGGGGCAAGCAGTCAATCCGTTTAGTGAGAGCTCGCAATGATGCCAACAGTGTGAAGGTTGTCGAGAGAGCGAATACTGCTTTGCCAGGATCTCCTCAGACTCAAAGTATTGCTAAAATAACGATAGAAAGCATCAATTTGAAAGTGCCACATCTCACACCCAACGATGACATAAAGTTGCAGTTGTTGACACGTATCAAAGCAGATGAGCCTATGATGATACCGTTTCGCAGATGGGAATTGCACGAGCTACCAGCACTCACACAAGGATCTACCATAGAAATCTGGTCCGTCAAGACATGTTCTGCATTGGACAGTCCAAGATATGTTATAGTATTTTTCCAAACGAAAAAAGCCGATAATTTGCATGAAGACGTCACCTTGTTCGATAATGCCAACATCAAATCCATACGATTGGCTCTGAATAGCGACTATTATCCGCAAGAACGAATGCTATTGGACTTTTCCCGAGACCAATATGCTGACGCTCACTTCAACTATACAGAGTTCAACAAGAGCTACCATAACTGTCAAGAAAAGCGCTCTCTAGTAAACTTTGCCGAATTCAAATCCCGACCAATGTTTGTTATCGATTGCTCGAGGCGCCATCTGGGTCTAAAGTCGTCCACAGTTGACATAAAGTTGGACATTGAAGCGACTACAGGCTTCCCTCCCGACACCAAAGCCTATTGCATCATCATTCACGATCAAATCATGGAACATCTCCCACTCAGCGAAATTGTTCGAAATATTGCCTAGGTGGGTGTTGCTGCATCAGTCAGACGTCAGTTTGCTTCGAAGAGTCATGGAGATCGCACTGGTTGACATTCAAGGGTTCATGGTTGATGGTGAATTCATTCCAAAGGAAATGACCATTCGCATTGGCAGAAAGACGAGTCATTTTCTATTCAAGCCATCTGTAGAATTTTCGAGTTTGAGCAGAGAAGATAAAAAGATGGCAAATCATGTGGAGCGTTACGTTCATGGTTTAAAATATTCCAGTGGTTATGTGGATTTGAATGAGTTGGATCAAATACTACGAGATAACCTGCAGCAGACAAACATCATCTACGTAAGAGGCCATCAAAAGATTCAGTTCTTGCAGCGAAAATGTGCAGAGTTGGAGATGACCAATCACATTGTTAATTTGGAAGATTTTGACAATTCTTGGTGGCAACCAATAACGTTTCAACAATCCATTCCACCTTGCATGAATCATTTCCATGGAGGAAGGTTCCAGTGCAGTCTCCACAATGTCGATACTTTATATAATTGGTTATGTAATTTATTGCCAAAATAAAAAACTATATATCGTAATTTCAGAGTTTTTATTCATCACATCCCTTATTTCTCAGTATAATGAAAATAACATGTGAGATTAAAATGAGTGAACATATTAGTGTACAACAAAGTGTCAAAATTGCAATGATATTGACCGAATCTTGATCATCATCTAATTTTGTGGGTGATTTCTTCAATGTAAATGTCTGCCAGTCCCCAGTTTCGCCGTCACTGCCATCAGAAAACGATAATTTCAATTTGTAGTCGATGGTGGTCCCATTGACTCGAGGCATGTCGATTGAAAATACAGGTAGTTTGTTATCATTGACATACATTCTACGCATCAGCTTCCAATCACACTGTTGTGTACGATTCACATCAAAACATACGGCTGCATTCCTCGTATTGTACGGTATGTTTGTGTAAAAGACGTTGTTGCTCAGAGCTGTCAATAGAATGAAGCTTGCTTTCAGTATCGCCATCTAGTAGCTGTGTTGGTTGGATCCTTCTCGATGTAGGTGCAACTGAACGTCTTGGTTCTGTGAACACCTTGTCCCAAATACTCAATTGCTCGAAATCTTTGAACAAACAAACTTTCTGCTCATACAATTGGATGTCTGCACTGAGCTTTCTAACTTTCAACCCAAATTCTTCTAGTGCACGTCTGTATTCGTCAGAAGACATGATACAACTGTTTTTTACATCCATACCTTCAACTAATATCCATCCAATCTCTCTCTCTCTCCCTTTCTCTCTCTCTCTTACTCTCACTTCTTCTTCTCTTTTTTCTCTCTCTCTTTCTCGTACACATCATCCAGACAAGGGTGTGGGAAAAGAATACACAGAAAAGTCTAATAATTGTAAAAGTGTATAATATTATAAATGTAAAAAGGAATAATAAAAATGAAAAAAAGTTTATACAATAAAATATGAATATTAGGAATAATTAGATAATACTAAAATAATTGAAAATAAACATATATACAACATAAATTATTGGATGAATAAAAGAAGTTACATTTTTTTCGTGGAAAAATAAGTCATCAATACAACAGCGTTGGTTTGAAAATTTAGATGCAAAAATACTAAGGAGAAAATCAATCCATCAAACTGTAGTGACCCCACGGAAGTGTGTCAAATGAATCGTGAATCAGTTTCCGCTTATCATCTTTGGGACTCAGGCCAATTTTTGTTTGTTCGATGGAAAAAACATCGTGAGCGTAGGAACGAATCGTTTGCTGGGCTACGGTCTTTTCTTTCCAAGCCGTCAGACAATCCACATAGTCATCAAAAGTCAACTTATTTTTGACGACGCATTTCTTGACACCCTTGGATTTTTTAGTTATACCAAAATTTTCCAATTCCCTATCTAGTCGTTCTTTACTGAATCCCTTTCTTTCCAATCGCTTTCTCTCTTTTTCAATATCCTCATCCGTTATATCCAATTTATAACTGTACATCTTGGACCGTAGTCCAGCAAAATGCGTAATAATCTTACCGTTTGCCTCATCCTTTAATAGGCCCAAGACTTTTTTATTTACTCGAGGTATACCATAAATATTGTCTGGAGCATAGTCAGACGTGTCAAATCTCTCGATATTTGCATCAATCACCTCACTATACGCATCGTCACATACAATTTCGTAGATGAAGCTGTCCGTATCGGTATACATGAGTTTTACGTCAGCTCCAAGCTTTGGTAGCATGAAATTGTAGTGGAAATCATACATGACGATTTTCGATAAATCAAGAATAGCCATACCAATGTATAGGGGCTTGTTGAAAATCAGCTCTGCTTTTTTCAACTCTACTGCTACCAAATTGTCATCGAAAACTGTCCGCTGTTGAAACCGAGGACTTGAAATTAAATTTTTAATGCCATAGCGGCCTTCATACATTCTGACTAACTTTACTGTTCTATGATTACGAATATTCTCCATAGTCTTCCCAAACACCGCATTATTGGCTAATTTCCTTAAATCTTTTTCAAAATCGTTTGTGGCTAGAGTCCTCAATCGAGTATTCAACTCGATGTAGGGCTTTAGCCACGTGGATTGTTTGAACTTTAATACTTTATGAATCTTGGTCAATTTCAGACCGTGTTCTAATGCCTGCTTCAAATTTCGATAATGTAAAGTATATTGCTTTTTATCGTGGAGTGTGGTCATTAATTTGGATAATTTTGAATTTGGTGGTGTGCGGTGTTCGGGACAAAATGGAAGGTCCTTGTGTAGGTCATGCAACCCCTCAGGATACTCCAAATCAACTTGGAGAATATAGCCTTCTGGACTGTTGTCAGGAATTTGGGTTACATCAATGTCAACATTTTCTACCCATGTAAAGCCCCCATAAGGGAGGGGTTCACTCATTGCTTTTCCATAAAGGTTATTTACATCGAGATAAAGAAGGTACTTTGACGGCTTTTTTGGATCGTAATTTTTCTGATATTTATTGTTTGCTTCGCTATACCTATTGCAACAAACCGATACTCCTCCTCTTATCGCCTGCTCCACAAACATCACCATGTCGATGTCTTTGATGATTTGCAGCTTACACCCAGTATACTTGAGCATGCAGTCCCAAGTATAGCCGGGCATGGTGTAATACCAAGCAGGATCGAGGCCATAGGTCTTGAGGGATGACGCACGGAAATTTTCCATGACGTCAGCAAGAAGAAGAATATCGGTCCGCATATATAGGTCGCTATATTCTCCCAGCGATTTCAGCTCGAAAGATTCCCAAACTTTTCGCGCGTGCGCGTAATCGTCATCCGAAATATTTGTATCGTTCAATTTGTTATAGAAATTCTGAATACTTGGCAACTCGGATTCATCCAATCTTTCCACATTATCGACATAATCATATGGGAATACTCCTTTTCGTGTCAACAAAGCAAATTTCGTCTCATTCACGTCGCTGAATTCCTTCTTCAGGATTTTCAAATCATTAACTTTTAGCGTTGACACTAAAGCATCGAGACTGGTTCCCAAAAAGCGGAAAGAGTCGATGAATCGGAATTTTATGCTTGTTTCATCATCATGTTGTGTAAAGGAAATGTATTTTTCGCGATTAACCGGGAGTACGCTCACACGTCCCCGCTTGGAAATGTCTCTGATTATAAAATGTGAATCATATCCTGAGAGGTTGTGGAACGTAATGGGAACAACGAACAGTTTCCTAAAGTTGAGATTACAGGGAGCCTGGTGTGCGAAGCCTCTGAATGCGCCAGTAAAATGGTCGTGGTCGCGTACGATAACGTCTTTTGCCTTGAATTTCTCTTCGCAAATGTGGCAGATGGTTGCGTCACTGGTACTAGCCGGTTTGACTACCATTGGAACGATATTTTTCAATTTGGATTCGACAAATTTAGCAATTTTAGACATTTCGCAGGCAAACCAGTCCATGCAATCTCCACCCCTATGACTACGATAGAATGACAGCGAGTCATCGAAAGAACATTTGAAATAGTACCCTGCACTGTATGCTTTATGATGCTGATACTTTGAAGTGGTTTTTGAAATTTTGGAATTACATTTCTCCAACTGCGATTCGAAATCAGCATAAATGATGAAAGGACATGTCTGCTTATACACATGGTTCTTAAATTCTACAAAATCATACTTGGGGAATGAAATTTTCTCATTATTAATTTTCTCACATAGAGCAGCATGACTATCAAGCTTCTCCTGACAATGATAATAGTTGAGGCACCGATCGCAGATGAATTTCTTACCCTTATATTTGTTGAGTTGACTTGATACTAGTCGTGAAAGGTCCTTAATCCAGACATAGTGATATTTTATATTGACGTTCTCTTCAGCATTATCGTTGTCAGGAGGAGCTTCATAGTCATTCAAATTTGGGAAATATTTGTCCTGAATTAAAAGCAAATTGACGTGTCGATTGGATTTATGCTTAGTAAGTCTGGTGGGTACTACAGAGTAAAATGTTCGTTCGTTGACTTCTGTCAACTCTAACGCATAAACATTCACCGAAATAGCATTCATTTTTTCAAATTTTGTTATTTGGGGCAGCTTCATTGGTATGTCTAATCCTTTGATGTTCAAAATCTGTGAATAGTGAGGATAATTCTTAACTCTATTTGAATGTGCGTCAGCAGGATGCAAACAACTAACTATGCTCCAAAAGAAGCATGCCTCATCATCATTTTGGACATTGATACAAGCATGCTTTCTCTCAATCTGCTCTGGTAATTTGATAAACGATGAGCCATTGCCCATTTCATATTTATTTATGGCAACCTCCAGAGAAATAATTTCGCTCAAGGCCCACCCGCTATTCTTCTCGGCAAATTCGCTAAGTTTATTGAGGATCACATCTAGCGCATTGATTTTGAACCAATCGGCTAGGTCCGTTCCTGCGTCCACGATGGCATTGGGAGTACAAAAATGTTTGCGGTCAACTAATTCCCCATTATTCGACTGCTTAATGAAGTCACCGGAAAATGTAAAGTTGACTTTTAGCATTGAAAAGCGCCCCAAAATTTTTGAAATTCTCTTATTCACTAATCTAAATGAATCCTCCAAAAAGTCAATAATCTCCTTATGTCTCAAATTCAGAATAAGACCGGTCTGAACTCTCGACGCGAAGATTGAATTTACATCAATCCAACGAATATAGGGCTTCAGGCCGGAGCCAACATGTCCTCTATTCATAGTTTTGATGAAAAATCTCATCCGTTTCAGTTCCCCGATCTTAGTCTGAATTTTACGCTTCAAACCAATCGAAAAAGTATTTCTTTTCAATGCTAAAATACATTTCCGTATGTGTGAACGGATTGATTTCAATACAAAAAGTGCCAATGGTTTCGAATAATTGTTCTTGATCAGTAAAAGTGTTTCGTCAACTTTGGTCAAGGTTTTATTGATGCTCTCCATTGTTATATTGATGATATTTTACCCAAATAAAAAAATGTAGCTTACTTTAATTCTCCAAAATTTCAAACGAAGCTGCTGGATTGGCCTTCCCAGTCTCCACCTTTCCTCTGAAGACCAAGGAATATTTCCCGGTGTTGAAATGCTCAATGTGGGACGAATAGACGTTCGTTACGCGGTTCGGTAGGAAGATGACAAATTCTTCTAGTTCTAGAAGTATGGTCTGTCCGAATTTCGTATAGACTACTTTTGCTGTTAGGATGTTATGGGGTTGTCCTAGGGTGAGATCCACCAACTTCACGCTTGGTTTCTGTTGTTTTAGAGCAATCAGAGAAGCTGCGTTGATTTGAGTAAGATCCATCTGGTGGAAAGAAAAAAGACAAAAAACATCAGCAGTCCAACAAAGTCATGATGAGCTTGATACTGGGATGGATTATTTTCGATAAAACTAGAAATAAAATCAATCTGCGATTGATCATTGATACTTTCATTGAATTGACTCTCGAAAAAAAACTTGGAATGAAAAAGGTTGATGCGGAATGAGCACTAGGTTGTATTATTTTCAAAATAAAATGAAAGGGACCGATAATATAAAATTCGAGAAAGGAATGGGCACTGAATGAATAATTTGCAATGAAACTTAAAATAAAACTAAGAAACTCAAAATGGAATAAAAAAAAAAGTCGGATAATATAGGATTGAGAATATAAATACGCACTTTGATAAAAAAGAGGTACTTACTATTATTACTATTAATGCACACACACACGCACACACGAACAGTGATGATTTGGCTGGAGCTGGTCAAGAGACAACGTTCACGATTGCAGACTCGAGTGTGAATGATGTTGTGCGGCGTCATCGCTTTTATATGCTGGCGGAGTTACCTCGTGACTTGCTGATAGTAGACGCGGATGTTCTGGAAAAACCCATCTGGAACGACTGCTGATATCGATAATTTCTTGCGTCATTCTTATCGTGTATTTTGTTTATGCGACTAGTTGGGTTTTTTTGTGATTTTGATAACCTCCAACGTTTCCTGTTATGCTGCTGATTGTGAAATTGTTAGGTTTTTTGTGGTTTCGATAACCTTCGACGTTTCCTGTTATTCTGCTGATTGTGAAATTTGTTGTTGGGTTTTTTGTGGTTTTGATAACCTCCAACCTTATCTGTTATGCTGTTGATTGTGAAATTTGCTGTCGCTGCACCCGTGTAGAGATAAGCGCGCGCCAGCGGTGGATATTATTTTCAACTCGAAGTTTCTTATCTCTGGAATGCATCTCTCGCTTCACACTACCTCCATAGATCCGTTGCAAAGATAAGCGCGCGCCTGCGATGGATATTATTTTCGACTCGAAGTTTCTTATCTCTGGAATGCATCTCTCGCTTCACACTACCTCCATAGATCCGTTGCAAAGATAAGCGCGCGCCTGCGATGGATATTATTTTCGACTCGAAGTTTCTTATCTCTGGAATGCATCTCTCGCTTCACTGTACCTCTACAGATCCGTTGCAAAGATAAGCGCGCGCCTGCGATGGATATTATTTTCGACTCGAAGTTTCTTATCTCTGGAATGCATCTCTCGCTTCACTGTACCTCTACAGATCCGTTGCAAAGATAAGCGCGCGCCTGCGATGGATATTATTTTCGACTCGAAGTTTCTTATCTCTGGAATGCATCTCTCGCTTCACTCTACCTCGATGGATCCGTTGCAAAGATAAGCGCGCGCCAGCTATGGATATCCCGTTTGAATAGCATTAAAATAATTGAAATATCACGGAGGTCGGAATACCACAGTGCGTATATACGCTGCCTCATAATGCAAAGGTCCCTGGTTCAATTTCCCCCATCAGCGGTGACAGCTTTTTTTAATTTATTTATTCACGATGGCGACGTGACGACGTATGAATAATTCGAATTTCGCGCCGGTTTTTAGTGGGCGTGGCCTCCAATTAAATGCTGGTCTCTGATTGGCTTGGTCCAGAATCCCTATAGCCCCTCTACTCGTATCTTTGGTTGATATCATCAACAGTCAGACTGCTGCAGATGCCCCTGTGAATATGCATCAATGCCAATCCATTCAATCTATCTTGGACCATTCTGGATCTCATCCAATCTTTCAGCCTCCTGAGAATTCAAAACCTTCTTTCGGAAGATGCAACACTCACAGACAGGCAACATAATGGTTCCAGAAGAATGTTTATGTTAGGAAACAAATATTTGTTACATCCCTTCAGGGCAGTTATACCATTGTTTGGTATATTTCGCTTAGTATTCCTCATTTTCTTTCATATATACATTCCAGAAACGATCTTCTGGAAGGACATCTCACCATTCTCCTCAAAAATGGTCGGAAACTGTTCAAGTATATTTCTCATTCTACATATATTCCTTCATCTGTTTTGTTTCCAGTTATTGATGGCACACAAAGGTGAAGGTTGTATAGATTCAATTTATTTTCTGATAGTTCATCATTGGGATCAAGGATGAAACTGGGATGAAATAGTTATTCTGTAATGGTCAGCCACTGAAGAAACCGTATGATTCGGTCTATGAACCAGTCTCCCTGTTATCCTCGGCATCGAAAATTCAACATTCAGTTCTTTCAATTTCTGTTTGGCTTCATTCGAAATACTTAGATAGTATTTAGAATATCATCCCTTTCATTTTGAAGCGTCATCAGGAGAGTGATACTAACAACATTGTTAGCTTGTTTCTTATTTGGAGCAAATTACTGAGTGGCAGTGTTATCGAAAAAATATTTGCCAAACAGCAATTCGCAATTCCTCAGAGCTGTTGCGAAGTTTCTAGCTATAAAGACATATACACTAATTTTTCCATTTACTAAAAATACCTACATTTTAACATATCCATGAGGTTTCCGAGGGGGGGCCATGCCCCCCCATGGATCCGCCCCTGCGGCTGTATAAAAAGCCGCCGCGGTGCGGTAAATTCAACACCGCATTCTCGTGATCCAGAAAGTCTACTCACAACTTGCTATCACGGCGACAGAGGCAAACAATTGGTTGTTTCAGATAACGTACCTAACATTACAGCAATTCCTTCCTC